TATAGGGCTTATATTAGCTGAATAATGAACATGTTGATTACTCTTTATAAGGTCGATATCGGTTGTAAAGTGACTGTAAAATATCAGATGAATCTGACAATTCTGTTAAGGGCCAATATAAGAAAAATAACGACCCTTTGAAACTTTATTTAGCCAAGTTTCTTAAATATGGGTCCAATGAGGGTCCAAGTTATTTCGTTGCTAGGGAACTTATAATTTTTCAGCAACTATAAATTTAGCCGAAATAGAGGATTATTTTTTTTTCGACAATGAATTCATAGATATTGGTAATAAACTATAGTTAAATAATGGTATTATCTGCATCTTATAAATCATGAAGAAGGAAAATATAAATTATTTAATTTTAAACAATTAGGATCTCTTTAATTGTAAACTATGTTAAAATTGATTTAATATAATACTGAGAAAAATTATGAATTTCTCTTTTTTAACGTATGCAAAAATAAGCCTATAATCATTCTGTTGTTGAACTGTAGATATTAGCATTATCCACTGCACGAACATTTTGCGAAAACATGAGTCAGACAACAAATTTTAAATGCAACAAGTAAATTTAATTTGAACAATTTTAAAAAAAGTACAAACATATAAATTTTTACATTTGCTTATAAAAGAGAATCAGTCATAAAACTTCCACAATATTTCAATTAAATGTTATATTTTATTCATAAAATAGTTTTCTTAATAAATTTTATAAAAGACTATAAATTTTAAAAACGCAAGTTTTCTAAAAATAATGCTTATTCGTGGCATGAACAAAACATTTATTTTCCTAGTAGCTTAAGTAAATGGATTAATCACTGGATAATCTAATTTTTTTACATTATATGCGTGATTATACATTATTCTTCAGAACTTAATTATTATTTTTTTTAAAATATCACCTCATGATCAGATTCTTCAAGCCTCGTGTAACAAAAATTAAATAAAACTATAATTTTTTCTCGGACATGAATTATCAGAATAATTTTTTAAATTCGATAAGGGCGTGTCTACTGATTTTAGGAATTACTTCAGGCAACACGGAAAAATATATTCTGATAAAATTAAAGTTCTTTATGGCAATGGCTTTACTGGTAAAAATAAACAATAATTCTAGTTAATAAATACAAGGTATTTAAACCATTCATTTGGTAATTTTTCCCTTCAGATATTAACAGATTATAGGAATTTCTGGTTTTCAAAATTACAGTTCTTATTAAAACACATTTGGTAAATGATTTTAACTAAATTAATGGTTTTTATACCATGCTAAAAGGTATCATAACAAAATTACCAAAATGATTGCCATTATATATATATACTAGATT